CCTTGGCCTTGAAAAAATGCATAATCCATTAACTGTTCCTGCAGAGCAAGGCCTCAGGTAAATTAATATCAATGTTGGCTTAAGAAGAGACGCATTTCTTAAAATTTAGAATGATTGGATTTACATTAAACATGTATTTTTAAACAAGGTCCAATAAGTACCACTGGAAAAAGCAGATTTCATATGCCTTTAAATCCAAAGCATCATATAATTTTGTCTATGTATTCTGATTGCTGATGTTGCTATGCCTGGAAGTGTCTTTGGAAAATGAAGGTTAAAATAACCCTTATACCAAGAAAGACAGAAAACTAAATTTTCAACTGCTTTTTTTTTTAATATTCTATTGTCTGGTAGCCATTTCAGACTCAAGGAATTGATTTATCTGCCTCCAAAGAAAGAGCCAGTGGTGATTATGGTCAATGGTAAGACCAGAGCAATGGTCCATCAAATCACGTTGACTATACCTCCCATGTGGACAACATCCTTGAGGTTTTTTGCAAAACAAGTTCAGTTTAAGCTTGAGGTGAATTAGTTGGTGTTTCTGCCAGTGGATAAGAAAGTCTTTGAAAATGAAAGCATCTAGGAGACAAGGTATGATTGATTTTTATTTTTTTTCTGGAGGAAATTATGGTGGATCTGAGCCTACTTGTTACTGGTGGCTAAATTCCCATCTGAAACTTGGAAAACAACATGGGTTGTCAAAGCAGATAGCAGACAGCAGCAGTGCACAAAACAGTTATATAGGCAACCCATGTGCTGAAAGCACATGAACACGGTGAGAAGCACTACTTGAAAGTAGACACAGCAACTACAGCAGTGGCAGAGAGCGGTGTGTGGGGTGCAGTCAGGGGGAGCAGAGGTGCTCAGCTGGTGGTTCTCCTCTGTGCCAACTGACACCAGGATGGAGACGGTTAAGTTGGGTCTTCCAAGTAGATTATTAATTATTAATAGAGAACTTTCTTAGCTGATTTACTTAAATATCATATTCATTTATCTGCTTATAGCCATGCCATGCTCATAAATTAAAGTGTTTTTTTTTCCTTCACTTTAATCCTTAGGAAGCATTAATTAGATAACACTACAGTAGAAGGATCCCTGTTCTTCTCATATAATTTGAGACATGCTGACAGTGATGTTTGACTGACAAGTGGAAATGAGAAGAAATCATTAGGCTGGAAGTAGCGTGAGACATTCAATTAAGTTGTTATTATTGAACACATATATTACAGCAGCGTCCAGAAGACCCAGATGGCAGAAGGGCACCATAGTATCAGGTGCTGTGTGAAAACATGCCATCTAGCCTCAGAGAGTTTAATGGCTGCAAATTGATTATCCTCGCTAAGTATACGGTGATTGCAAGTTTGCAGCGTTTCATGGAATGCTTAATATAGGAAAAAATACTTACTGAATTACTATTTCTAAATACTTCAAAATAAGTAAGAGAAAAAGCACTTTATTTCCTCTTTTACTTGTATTCCCAAAGACTAGAGTCATCCCTTTGACCTCACAATCTCACAAAGTGTCTGTCTGGCAAACTTCAAGAAATCTGCATCTTCTATATATATATACATAGGTACCCATGATAGGGATTTGAAGTCCTTTATATAAATAAATACTGAAACTGAAAAAAATATATATTAGTAGGCCAAGGCAGTCAAAATGTGGGGCTGGGTTGGAGGTGGACAAGGACACCGGGGAAGGCAAACAGCATTCTCCAAGTTTTAACGACGACTATGGTCAGCCAAGCATAAAAATACTGGCCGGCCTTCCCGTGCTGGTGTCTGGCACAGCGAAAGCTAATATTTCTGAGTTGAGAACCATGTTTTAGGGCCAAGACCTTGTCAGATCTCAGAAAGCCAAGTGAATCGGTGTAGTGAATACATTCACAGGAGACTCCTGAGGAAGCTGGATCTGCAGAGGCCTACCCCCGGCATTTCAGGCTCTGCTCCCAGGTCCATGCTCAGCCAACGCACCAGGGAGGTGTCCACGGTCACCGTGGTACTGCCAGCACTAGGGTATGCTGGAAAGCTAAGGCTTGGCCCTCTTCCAATGGTGAGACTGTGTAATAATAATAATATATAAAAAAGGCAATATTCTAGGCAAAAGCCCCATTGGGTTTTTCAGACATGAGGTGGAGTTCCTGTACTTCAATCCATCAGCTGACCTATGGTACCAGACTGAGTACGTGCTCCTGCTCAGTGCCAACGCTGAGCTGAACTGTGTTAGTCTGAGACTTGGTGCTCAGCTCGTGAACGGTAGCTCGTTAAATCACATTTACTGCATCATCTCTATGAGTCCTTTGTGATTGCGCTCTGCCAATTAAAAATGCATTTTGTAGTGTTTTTGAGATAATTTATTTTTCAACATCCCTTCCTGAGACCAACTACATATTGCTTTACAGAAGTGGCTCCGTTTCAGTGCTGGCCATGCCGTAATTGTAGGCTCCTACACTTGCAGAAAGGCAAAGATGATCTCCTCAGGTCCCCCCAGAGAGGACTCCCCAGCAGCCTGGCCCAGCAGACGCTTTGTCTAGCTCGTCCTTGTCCCAGACACGAGGCTGCAATCTCCCAGTTAGCTCACACCAATGTTTCACCGTACAGAGGTGCAAACAGAGGGGCAAACTTAAAACCCAGCTCTTGAAGAAGCCAAATTTTCTTCTTGTCCTTCCTCTGGACAGCCGGAGGGCCATGTACCACCACCCTGTGTAGGAGGCCAAGCCCTTCCCGTCCCTCACACCCAGCGGCCTTGCTGCGGCCTCGCAGCCTCCTCCAGGCCGCCATGGAGGCCGACCGCATGGTGGACCTCACCCTGTGTTGGGCTCCTGGAAGACAACAGTGTTTTGGGGGAACTTAGTTCTGTTATATAACCTGCTAAACAAGGGGCTGATAGGAATTCTGCTCAGGCTTAATTACAGCAACACAGCTATAACACTGCGATCAGCTGGAGCCAGGCTCAATAAAATCTCCATCCGGCTCCTGCACGGAGACCTCCACGAACCTGATTCTTTGCCTGGGCTCCCAGCCCAGAAATTAGATGAAGTTTTTTTTTTTTATTTAAGCTCCTGTGTCAACCGCCTTCGTAACCACCCTGCCTGAGGCGCAGCGAAGCCGGAGGCGGGGGGGGAAAGGCGGCTGCGAGAGGAGCCGTGCCCGCTGCCCGGGCTGAAGGCAGCCAAGCCCTCATAAAACTCCCCTGGCACGAGCCGGCTCCATTTTGGCACCGCTGCCTTTCTGCCACCCTCACCACGTCCCTTCCTGCCCCAAGGCCACCTCGCCCTCCCCGGGGTCCGCCTCCCCTCCGGCCCCGGAGCCCGGTGGCGGTGGGCGGAGAGCCGCGGCCGTGCCCGCCCCGCTCCGCCCCGCTCACCGCCCCAGCCGAGGCGCCGGGCGCTGCGGGAGCCGCAGGATCGCGGCGGGGAGGGCGACGGCTGTGTGGCTCCGTGGCCGGGCTGAAGGGACGGGAGGGAAGAGAAGGAGGGAGAGCGGCTGTAACTTGGCGGAACAAAGTTGGGGAGGCTCCCACGGAAGGCAGCGAGCGCCTGGGGGCAGCCCCGCGGCGGGCGCCCTCCGCTCCCCGGGAGCTGCGAGCCGCTGCCGGGGCCACCGGGGGCGTCCGTGCCTCTGGCACCCGGAGCCCCCAACCCCGGCCGGAGGGATTGCGGTTATAAACTGCGCTTCTCCGGCTTCGCTTCTGCTGATACCAGCCTGAAACACCCCGACGAGAGCACGCGAGGAGCTTCCCCGCTCCGAGGTCAGTGCGCACGCTGGCGCGTTGGGCTGAAAGCAACCGGGCTGCCGCTGCTCGGGCACCCTTGGGGTTTGGCTGAGCAACTTTTCCATCGGGCAGGAGCAGGGCTGTGCCGTGCCGTGCTCCACGCCGAGTTCCTGCGGCGGTGGCTGCCCCTCTGCCGGCTAAGCCCCCCGGGAGTCGCTGCCCCCCGGAGCTCCGTGGGTGCTGTTGGGGTCCTGCCGCCCCGGGGTGCCCGCTGCCGGTGTCCCCAGGGTCGCTGCTGGGTGACCTTGTTGCCACCAAGCGCGGTGCCAGGCTGGGATTAACCCGAGCCCCATCCCTGCTGTATTGCGCACCGCTGAGAGCGGTCAGCCCAGGTGGGAAACGATCCAGGCACAGCTTTGGGTGCAGCCTTGATTACCTTGCTAATGACATTGCAATTATTTTTTGTGTGTGCCATACTGATTTCAGCTGTGTTCAAAGTGTTTACTTGACCCAAGAGGAGTTATTTTTATTAAAAAGTGTCAAAAAAAAAAAAAAAAAAAGACCTTACAAAAGACAACCAAACTCTTTAAACTACGGACAGCTGTATTTTGCAAGAGAAACTTGAAGCTTAAGCTGCATGCAGAGTTTGTCCAGTGATATGCTCCTTGCTTTTTTAAATATACGTGGGAAGTTGTGAACAATGTATTGAATTTAATGGCAATGCTGAGCTAACTTTTAAGAGTTAAATGCATGTTGCTACTCCATGTGCGTCAATTATTCCTAGCACGTTATTTACTATGCAAGAGACTTTCCACAATTAACTGGCAAAGGAATTTGTGAGAGCATCAGGGGGAGAATGGTGTAGTAAATGCATACAGTTCATACCAAAAATGCTGACAATCAGATGGGGGGACTGCAATTTAAAGGTGTGTTTTGTCCTGTGATTCTTCTGGGCTGCGAGCTCTCTGTATCCCCATGCACAGTTGCTTCCCTTGCTCATCAGTCACCTACAGGCTTTGTAGTATTTCTGCTCCTCTGTGTTCTCGCTCTCAGTATTGTTCCCAGCCTTGTGCTGGGAACAGGCTGTGGGTTTTCTGAGCCAAAAGCATCGGTGTTTTCTGCTCCGTTAGGAGAGAGGAGGTGTAACTCTCTGCCACAGCTGCGCCCTCGGGGCTGAGGATGTGCAGGATGGTGCTGGCTGGGGGATGCTCCAGCCTTGGGTTTGTGGGTGCTCCCCTAAGGAACAGAGCGGCGGGGAGGAGCTGCCAAAGGAGCCTGCAGCTCAGCACCGTGGGTGTCAGGGGAAGCGAGATGAGATCATAACTCCGTGTATCTTAAGGCTCTGGCAACACGCAGCAGTTATTTAATTAATGCTTGAGTGGAACCTGTGCATCTGGCGTAACCTGCTGGTGGCTGGAGGTAGGCTGGCTTTGGGTCCGTGTGGTGGGAAGGCTGGAGGGAGCTGCTGGTAGAAGATGGGGTTTGGGTGGGCTGGTGGAGTCCTGCTCCAGAGCAGCCTTCAGGGTCTCCAGTGCCTGGAGCTCCTGCAAACTGGATTGATTTTTGTTTTGTTTCTTTGTGGTGGAGACTGATTCTTACAAGTGGCATAAGCCTATATTCCTATATGAATGAAATTGATGATCAAGGGTTATTGTGATACCAGAAATGTTATACTTGAAGTGCTATCCGCAAACAAGATTTTTCACTATTTTGGAACAAAGAAAAATAAATGTTGTGTGCTGCTGTTATCTGTGAGAAGCCAGGAAGCCTGCTGAGAGAGGGAAGAAGTTATTAGTGCTGAGGAATGACTGCAGCTAGCACTGAGTATGCTTCTTGGGTACGAAAAAGACTTTGGTTGAATTAAGAAATAATTGAAAGATTTACTAGAAATTGAGAAACATGGGTAGTCTGTTCATCAGTAAGGTTTATGTGTTTTAGTTTTCATCCTTCTTAGTGCTGACTTTGTCACCTACGTTTGTCCTGTTCTGACATCAAATATGTAGTCTTCTAGTTCATATTTAGAAATTAGCGAACACTGGATTACAATTGACTAAGATGCAAACATGAATGAATTCCAGCTGAATACTACTAAAATCACAGGTGACTGTACAGGATATGATTTCTTCAAGAGATGATTGTGATGAATGCATTGCTTAAGCCTGTGATGTGCGTGGGTGGTGTCAAGGTGGGCTAAGTGGCAAGATACTTTGAAATCAGCTTTTGTTTAAAGTTCAGAAAACTTAACTATCCTGAAGAATCAAGATAGTTTCCACGGCATGCTCTGTCTCTGGAAATGAAGGAGCAGAAGGCTTGTTTTGATGTTCATGTTCCAAAACAATTGCACTGTTGCTGCATCCTTAATGAAACATCTGCAGTGACAGTAAGTCCTTCCCCAGGTCTTTTTTTTGCAGCTCTACAACTTAAATTTCCCTCAGAGGCAGCCTCTTGCAGCCAAAATAGGGAAAGATCAGCTGGTGATTATACCAATTAAAAACAATTAAAATGCAGAAACATGAACCTGATAGAGCTGCAGTCTTCTCTTGCGCTAACATCTTCACCTTTTATTTAGCGAAGCTATTTAAAGTCACAGGCCCAGCTTCTCCATGCAGATTGGGATATCCGGATTTCATACTGTGTGGTGTAGGAGAAGGCACTAGAGGAGAAATTTAAAGAATCATTGGCAATGCCTTTTTGTGCCTCTGACACAGATGAAAATCACCTCCAAGCTGATGGTGGTATTCGGATGGCTTTTGCAACAGAAGTCTATCCAGGAGGGTTTGGATAACTAAAATGGAGTGGAAATAATGATTTGACTACAGTCAACTGAAACTTTGCTGTATGTGTTGTTTTTTAGCATGCTGTATAACTCAGAGAAAAGAGGTCCTAATACAGACTGAAGGCACGTGGCAGAAGTTCAAAAAATTCTTATGGATTCTTGGTCTTGTTCTTGGTTGAATGAGACGGGAAGGGTGGTGGTGTCTGTTGGTGAAATAATGCAGATAGTTGGTCTTCTTGTGTCAACCTAAAATATGCATATTGAAATTCAGGCTCAGAAAAGATATTAAAAGTTAGCTCATAAATTATAAAGCAGTGGTATTATTTGAAAGAGACATTAGTTTCATACTTTTGAAGTAGCACTCTTTTAATGTAAGAAAGTATAATATTATTCCTTAAAATCAGTGAAATAGTTCAGTGAGTTTCCTGAATTGAGGTGCAAGTTCACAGCATAACTATCTGGTTTGCTTTGAGGTACTTTCAAAGCAATAGGTTAGGCTTATTTTCTTTAAATATCAAGTGTCATCAGCAGGTAACACTCAACTAACTCCAGATAGTCAAGCTGATGGTTATGAAGGCTATGCTTCTGATATTAAAGGGTTGGCTTAATTGTCATTTTTCCTGAGCTGTCATGTTACCTTCTTTGCGTTGTATGAAAGTTGTCTTGTAGCAGAACTCCAACACAGCAAAAAAAAATGGGATCTCACCATTGGAGCGCAGCTCAATGGCGATGTGGCTTTAGATGTGCGTACACATGGCAGGTGAATAACTGCAAAAATGCCATGGGGGTTGTTTTCCTCTTCATTTAAGTAATTGTTCCTTCTGGTGAGCTTCGGTGATGGGCAGAGGGCAGTTTTGAGATGGTTACTTAGGAAAATGCACACTTAAATATTCAATTATAACAAAGAAAATTCTTGAACATTACTGTAGTTTAACAGTTTGAGCTTTGAGAATTCACAGTTAAATCCAGGTTACTCTGCTGTTTTCGTTTAAGCTGAGCTGTAGGGGGCCACCCTCCATTAATTATATTTAATAAAAAAAAAAAGCTTAAAAAAAAAAGCTTTTCTCCCTATTCCTGTCTTAAGCATACTAACTTATATTAATATAAATAAATAAATTTCTCTAACTCTGCCAAAATCAGAGTGCCATGTTCCCAATTTGGGGAATATGTTGCGGTTCAATAGGCCTTGACAATTCTGAGCAGTATTATCATTCAACATATTTAGGTCTTTCATGAAATTTAAAATATAATAAATTACAGCTGTTTGTAGCTGTAAGCCTGTATTTGGAGTAAATTGGTGAGGAAAATCAACTAGTTTTCCCCAAGCTGACTTAATATAAAGCATGGCTCGTGTCCCTCTCGCCTGTGCTGAGGTCAGAACAATCATTTTCAGTGTTTTGCACTACTTGACTACATAAGGAGCAATCCAGTCTAATCCAATCCAGAGCAGGTCAGTGAATGATAAATTTTGTTTAGCTTACAAGCATACCGATGTTCACAGTTCATTTACAGAAAAATCATGCATCTCTGCTTTTGAAGACGCTTCATTTGTTGAAATCGGCTTCTCTTGGAATTCAGAGTAAGACGTGAGATGGAAAATACTGTTTTAGTGCCATACTATTGTGGCGATATTTTGCATGCAGAAACTGTGAGATCAGGCTCTTATGCTTCATACAGAAACCATAATTTCTGAATATAACCAAGTGTTTTAATTTCATCCTAGCTTGAAGTCAGGCTTATGCAGGCACCTAGACATGCTTCTATCCTGCTGGTTTCTTTCAATTAAATAGCTCAAAGGTGGTCTGCTCCTTAAATGATAGAAACAAGGTCTCATCTTTGCTACCCAGCTGCTTACTGGAGGTGCAAAGTCAGGGAACTAAAGGTTTAGAGATTAGAGACAGCTGGTGGCAATGCCAGGGATTGACCCTTGGTGGTTCTCATCTTGCGTACACAGGTGCAGGGGTGCAGCACTCACCTGGGTGGTGGGGCTGTGTTGGTAAAAAACCTACCTCTGCAGAAATGTGAGTCTTTGTGTCCAAAGCCTGTGACTTAAATGTCAGCACTTACTAAAATAACTTCTTTCTTCATTTAAATAGGAACTTTTTTGTCACTTACAAGTACAGGGCAGGTCAGCGTGTGCCCAAAGACTGGGATTGAAGCCCACTGCTGCATCCTGCGTTAATATCTCTGTCCGTGTGGGGCTTAAATGACAATGAAACAAAAAAGCTTTACATGTGTGGATATTTATTATTATTTTTTTTACATTTTTACAGTGTTCTGAGGGGTTTTTTAAATATATTTATCCTATAAGGCTATTCCATGGAGTTTTCTGTCTGCAGTCAACTATTTTGTTGCAGGAAATTATATTATTCATTACAAGAAGACCAGAGGGTATTTTTAAATAGAATATCAATTGCAGCAATTATTTAAAACTATTTTAAAACAGCATGATTTATAAATGTAATAGTGTGAGAACTGTGGGATGATGATTATCCAGATAATTATTGCATGTTATCAAAGTACAGCAGGTCTGAAGGTGGAATTTCTTCTGGTATTTCCACAATTACTGGAGAGAGCTGTGTTAAGAACCTTCCCTACCCCCTGCTAGCGGATATTTTTCTGGCCATATGTTTCTTTCTGGATGTTTATGGTTAGCAGAGGAGGAGGGTATCTCTGGGCTCAGCACTGGTGACAGGAGCAAACCTCACTACAGGTGGGGCAGGATCTCAGGGCTGTGGTGTGCATTTCTCTTGTGAAAGCAGTTGTAAAGCAGTCAAGTCAAATCGAGCCACTTCCCATTGCTGCTTACCTAGCAGGAGATAGCTCTTTTACAAAAGTGCATCATTAAGAAGTTCAGTGCTATATTGTTTATTTCTATTCAAATAGGTGATGGTGTTGAGGGCTTTGTTCCAACAGTGCTGTGGCTGTTAAGTCCCTCCAGCCACTGTTCTCCATCCCCTCTCCTCTAAAGCACAGTCACGTGCAATACCGAAGGAAAGGATCGTTGCAGAGAAACCAGGAATGCATTAGAAGGAGCAGCTGGTGCTCTTCGGTTCTGCTCATACTGCCAACCGTGGCTCATGAGAAGGAGAAATGAAGGGCACAGTAACAGGAGGGAGGCTGCTCCTGTGTGGGTTATGCTTCACCGCAGCCTTCCCCAGCATTGAGAACAACCAAAGGAGCCTGCTGCCAGTCAGGGCTGGAGTGGGGTGCCCCATCTCCAGGCATGAGCTCAAACCTGCTGGCATGGAGCTGAGTCTGTGGGTAAGGAGCAGAGCTGAGTTTTAGCTGCAGTGGGTCCTTCTCATTTTGATGGTGTGTTGTTTTGTTTTCACCACAGAGTCTGTACCTGGATGAAGGGTAGGCCGCTGTTGCCATTTTTGAATTGCAAGGGCGTGTTTTTATAAATACTTGCCCTTGAAATTTGCATTAAATGGTTTAATAATTTCTCTGTCATGTGAATCTGCACTGAATTCATTTCACTGGTCTGTAAATAGAGATTGTTAATGATAGCAGTGAAGTTTCTCTATTGTTAATGACAGCAGTTAAATTTCTCTTTACCCTGGGGATTTAAGAATAGAGCACCTTATAGTTATCAAAAGGCAAGCTTTGCACTGAAAATTTGTGCTATGTCATAGGGGAA